TAAAGAGGGCACGTACTGAACGGAGCACTGGGTGTTATATGTAAACCATGAATCATGGAACACTACATCAAAAACTAATGATGTAATGTATGGTGATTAACATAACATAATAAAATTTTTTAAAAATGTAAAAAAAAAGAATATATAGTCAATGATATTATAATAGTGTTGCATGGTGACAGATGGTAGCTACGCTTGTGGTGAGCAAAGCCTCGTGCACAAACTTGTTGAATCACTATGTTGTACACCTGAAAATAATGTAACATTGTATGTTAACTATACTCAACACTAAAAAAAAAAAAAAAAAGACAATCTAATCATTGCCCTTTAGATCAGTCCTTGAACAGGGAAGAGGCATTGCAAGAGTGTGTGTCGTAGAAGATAGGAGTGGTCATTTTCACACAAGGAGCTATTTTCAGCAACAGGATCACCAAAAACATTGTGTCTGATGTTTAATGACTGTTTGTATACTGCTTTATCTTATACAGTGTCTTTTCATGTTCATGGTATCTCTCCTTTCTCCTAAATACAAGTAAATCAACAAATAAATCAGTATTATCCCTATTTTGCATATAAGGAAGTTTTAATGCTCAATAAATATGTTAACTGACCAAAATTCATGAATCTAGGAATTGAAACCAGATGTGATGCTACATTTAAAATTTACTCTCATTATGCCAAGTTATGTTCATTTCTAGAAACATCTAGGATTAAAATATGGCAATTATTTCTAAAAGAATTAAATCAATTCACCGGCCATGAGAAACCAAGTTCCTTCTTCTCCATTCCAATTTTCCATCACTCATAAGATCTTGCTATGTGTGCTTCATAATGAAGCCACTGTACTTTGTTTCTGTTTTTTTTTTTAAGGTTTATTTATTTGAGAGAGTGGATGGGGGGCAGAGAGGGAGAGAGTCTTAAATAGACTCCATGCTGAGCATGGAGCCTGACATGGGGCTCGATCTCACGACCCTGAGCTCATGACCCCGAGATCATGACCTGAGCTGAAACCAAAAGTCAGGCACTTTGACTGCCACCCAGGCTCCCCACTTTGTTTCTGTTCTTATTTGAAGTTTTTTTTTCCTTATTCATTTAAAATATAGAATTAATTTGATTCTAACCATAACTAATGCTTGATCATTGCTAAAAAGATGAAGAATAAGAAACTATTTATTATCCAAAGATAACTATTATTGTTTCCTATTTATTCATAGTTACTGTTTTTAAAATAAATTTATTATAGCCATGAATTGCAGTGTACTGCAGAGATTTTAGTCTTTGGTTTATGCATATTCATTTTCATACCATTGACATTAGCACATTAGATTGGTCTCCTTTTTTAATTTTTTTTAAATTTTGTTAGGTTTTTTAAATTTTATTTCCAGAATAGTTAACACACGGTGTTACATTAGTTTTAGATGTACAATATAGTGATACAACAATTCTATCCATTACTTAGTGCTCCTTTTTAATTCATCCTATCTAGTGATCAACAACTTTGTCTCCTTCTTAAAAAGTTAACTTTGGAGTTTGTGATTTTTTTTTTTACAGTGTTTGTAGAGTTCCCACATTTCCTTGTACTATGTCTTAGGTAGTATTTATGTCCACCTCCTAGTTTGTGCCACCATGTTGGTATTCCTGAATAAATACGGAAAGATCAGCATTTCACCATCTGTACATCGCCCATTCCTCTTTATTACCACTCTCCTGCTGCCACACCTTCCACCTTTGTCCCATCACATATCTTTTAGCTTGCACTCATTTGATTCCCACAACACTGACCCTGCTCCCTTCTTGCAGGTTTTTTGGCACCTCTTTCTTCAGCTAGTTTGCCCTCCTTTGTCTCTGTATCGTGCTCAAATTCAGTGCTCCCTTTTCTGTTGGAGAAAATGAGTCCTCTCATCTCTAACCTCTCTGCTTGGCCTCAGTTCTTCACCCTATTGCAAACATATGGCCAGGCTGCACACACGCCCCTCTCTGTGTAGTGCACCCACCAAAACACTGCATTCAGATGCACATAATTTTTTTTCTGAAATCAGGCCAGTTGTTCAGTGTTCACCATTATACGCAGATACTTGATGCAAAAGAAAAAAGACAATAAAAAACAATGACAAGAGCAGCTAGCCAATCAGTGTAATGTCCCTTCTCTCTGTGTACAATCAGCTCCAGCTGTAGGCCCTTTATCTTGAGAGTTCATAGGATAATGCACACACATAATTAACCCAAATAAACCCACTTTCGTTGAAAACATTTTGAAGACTTCAGCACAAAAGAGCACTTTTTGGTCCAGATCCTGTACTATTCTGAATTTTTAAAAAGACCACACAGAAGCCTCATCAACAGTACCCTAATTAAACTCATCAGTTCACAGATGTTTACAGGAAAATGCTCAGCAAAAAATTTCACCAAGAATTCCTGTTTCCTGAGAAGAGAGATATATGATGACAATAGTAATAGTAATAAGAGCTAACATTAATAAGTATTTTAATGTTCCTGCCACTTTACTTAGATGAATACATTTACATCAATAACTCTTTAAGGTAGCAATTATTATCATACCTATTTTACAGATGCCAAAACTGAGGCTAAGAAGATTAAGTTGTCCAAATTAACACAACTAGGAAGAGCTGGGACCAGGATCCTAGCCTGCATGACTCAAAAGCATGTGCTCTAAATCACTATGTTCTGTTGCCAATATCGTGCCACCTGTTCCAAAACTAAAATCTGTGTCAATGTTCCAATACTTTGTAGTCACCAAATAAAAACCAACTGAAATACCACTATTATAAACCACCATTATCCCCACTTCTATACTCTACCCTTTGCTCAACTTTTACTTTCTGGTCTAAAGAGTTCTCTGGTGGAATCTGAGAATCTGCATGCAAAGCATTCTCAATAAACATGCTTGAAGCTTGAAGTGTGTCTTACTAGAATTTGAGATTCAAGGGAGCTGGGGAACTTCTCTATCTGAAAGAGGAATACAGATGAGTGGTTAAAAGCCTGGTCTTTGGATCCAAACTACTTGCTTTTAATCTGCTTCTACCACTATTAGATCAGTGACTTTGGGCGAGTTTCTTAACCTCTTAGAGACATGCTTTTCTAATCTGTAAAGTGAAAGTAATTATATTAGCTACCACACAAGTTATTGTAAAGTTCTATTGTGTTAATGTATGTAAATGACTTAGAATAGTTCCCAGTGTGTAATATAGGCTACATAAGTTTCTGCTATGGTTATGATTTTCTTTCTTACTATTTATTACTGTATCTCTAATATGTAGAACCATGATTTATACATAATAGGTATGCATTTGACCAATGGATGAACATGTGCTAGAAACTGGAAATACAAAAAGTTGTAAGAGAATGTCACTTGTCTAGAAGAGAACTATAGGAACCAGTGGAAAAGTGTGTAGCTTAATGGAGAGTTCATGATCAGCATTTATACACATCAGTCAGGTCCAGTTCCCTCCAGTTCTGGGGTCCCTAACTTGGGCTACACCATCAAGGATTAATTGGCACATGGAATTTATAGAACATGAGGCAAAAAGAAGAAAAAAAAACAATGTTGCAAGGTATTCTGTGACTAAAGCTCTAATTAAATAGTCCAGAGAATAGGGGATCCAATCTAATACTCTTTGGCACATTTATTTTAATTCTGCATCATTTCAGCCGAAATTAAAGAATCACTCCGTTAAAACAATAGTAGCCAAATAAGAATAATTTAGGTATTTAAAATACCTTGTAAATATTTTAAAACCATCTAAGAGAAGAACTGCAGAGATTCCACTATAATGCCACTGCCATGAAGTAAAAATTGCACTTGCATCAGGCTCTTCTGTCCAGTAAAAAGGAGGAGTTGCTGTTGAAGTAGATGGGAATAGGGTACCCTTGAACTTGTTCACCTGCAAAGCCGTTTTCCAATATTAACCTTAGAAAATCAACTTGTTAAATAACATTTTGATGGGAACAATTTTTAATTATTTTTATTCTTTTAGAGGGCAGGGGAGAGAAAGCGTGCAATAGTGAGAGATAGAATCTTAAACAGGTTCCATGCCCAGCATGGAGTGCAACATGGGGCTCAATCTCATGACCCTGAGATCATGAACTGAGCTGAAATCAAGAGCCAGAGGCTTAACTGACTGAGCCACCCAGGCCTCCAGAGGGGGACAATTTTTAAAATGAAAAAAAAAAACAAAAACAAGTTTGGTGTAACTGTAGGAAAATTGGGGCTCTCATATAATGTTGGTATAAGAGTAAACTTGTTCCTCTCTCCACAGGGCACTTTAAGAATAGGTATCAGAAGGCTTATAATATTCATATAGTTTGGTCCAAAAATTCCACTTGGTATGATTTATCCCAAATAAATCATCAGAGTTGTGTGCAAATACAGAAAAAAGTTTACTGCAACATTATTTATTGTAGAAAAAATTAGAAGCAAACTAAACATGCTTTAGTAAGAGATTGGTTCAAGCATTACATTACAACCATGCAACACAATGCTCTATAGGAAACAAAGTCATGTTGTTGCTGTATGCTATGATATGGACCAATAGTCACTCTAGATTTAAAAAGCAGTTTCCAAAACAGTATGTACAATATGGTCACTATTACTTAAAGAAATATATCCCAAATAGAGAGACTTTGGTTAGTTTTTATTCTTTTTTTTTTTTTAGTTCAATGAGTTTGTAATTGGAAAAACCATAGCATAGGAAGAGAGACATTTGACCCCTCTTTTCTTTTTTCCACAAATAGTATTCTGATTTGCATGATGATACATTGCTTTCTCATAGAAAAAGACAGAAGCAACTTTGTTTTGTTAGCATCAACAGCTTATCTGCTTTTGCTAATGCCATAAATCCATCTTTTCTGTCAAAGTATGATGTAGATACTGGATTGTAATCATTGCTATTTAATCTTTAAATAATTCTGTATATCCTTTTGCCTGTTTCTTTTCACCTGCATAGATTTGACTCTAATATTGAATATTATTTTTCTTTCAGGTAAACAACTACAGTTTAGAAGAAGTGACGCATGAAGAGGCAGTCGCAATATTGAAGAACACATCCGATGTCGTTTATCTAAAAGTTGGCAAGCCCACCACAATTTATATGACTGATCCTTATGGTCCACCTGATATTACTCACTGTAAGTGCCATGCTCAGTGTCCCTCTGCCAGGTGTATAAAATTGGAATTCTGCAAAATTTGACAAAGTACTCTGTTTGCATCTTTGCTCTTGTTTAACCTGTGGGAATAGTTCCAAGGGATGCTGTGCTGCCCTCCTTGGTATGAAGGTGGGACACCCTGATGGGTTAGAAAGTCCACCATTTAAGAAAGGTTTAATGAGGTATGTCATGGACAGTGTGATTACAGTAACGTAAGAGCAACACCTTTTTAAAGGCTATTTCTCAAGCCCCTAAAACATGATAACTCTCATGCCATAGTATCCCCCCTTCCTAGTTCAAACCTATATAGTAGCAAATGAAGAAAGAGAAAGACTGGCAAAATAGACCTCTGCTCCCTCCTGGGGGAGAGGATCTTGCACTTGCATGGTGGCATTATGATCCTCAATCACCATCACCATAGCTCTTATCTTTACCTGAATATTATATTGGCAGGGAAGCCAGGGAAAGCTCTCAGTCACTATGGCAGTAGAAGTGAGTTGTGGGTGGGGGTTTCTAGGCCAACGACTAACTAGAGATGCTGTGTTGAATCCTATAAAATCCACTCCTGCATAAGCCCCATGTTTCCTTCTCTTTTTAATAGGTCGCAAGAACTTTAAGGTTCTGTCTCTGGGGACTAGATTCAGAAGCAATTTTTTTTTCTGTGAGTTTAAGGGACAGTTTTGTCAAAATCAGTAAGCTTGCTCATTCTGGAATTTTGAGAAACCAGTTTGTGAGATTGGGAACTCGTAATATCTTCAGGACCTGCCATTAATTAGTACTCCAGTCTTAAGCAAGTCACTTAAGATTTAGATGTTTCTCTAAGATTTAGATGTTTCTCTTGAGAGAAATTTAAAGGTTGAATAATTTTGTTACCCGCCCATTACGTTAGCTATTGCTTTTCTTAATGATGATTCAAAAATGACCTCCTCTCAAGTTAACTATCTGACAAAATACATCTTTTTCCAAGCATGCGGTAAGCTGAGATCAGCCTTACCTTAGGATATGAAAGAATTTTAACTTTCAAAGTTCTCCAAACTCGATAAATTTAGAAAAATCAGCTTTGAGACTCTGAGCAACTTCATGAAGGATATATAAGGTCAACGTTAAAGAGATAAAAGCAAGAAAACAAAGCTTGCTATTCAATTCAAAAAATATATATTGAGTAACCTCAATATGTATGACACCTTATAAGGTAATATGTGGGATACAAAGGAAATGCAATCATGGCTTGGAAGAAAGGCTAATTCAGATATAAGAATAACAGCAGTATTTGGCAGCATAAGAGGGATGTACATGCCATGGAAGTGGTAAAAGTAAATGTGCTTTGGGGACTCAAAGGAAAGGGATACTACCATCTTTGGACAATCACAAAACTCTTTATGAAAAGGGTGACGTTTGAATTGTATCTTAAAGAGTGGAAGAAATTTCAGTATCAAAGATGTGTTAAGAGACAGAAATTGTAGGTAACTGATGAAAGTACAGATGTTGGGAAGAGTTGTCTTTGTTGGAGGACTATAGGATGTGTGTAAGTGAGATATTGAAATGGATCAGTCTGGTAAGGATGACAAAAGGAAAAGTTTACATTCCATACAGTAGCAGCAATAGGGAACACTTAAGCAGGAGAACAGCATTATCAGAGTTGGATTTCTCAGTCTATAAAATGGATTTCTAGAGAGGGGTAGGAGGCAGGAGACCCAGGCAGGAGGGGCTTTTATACATTCAAAAGGGAGAAAGGGAGATGAATTACTGTGGAGGACTAGAAAGGAAAGGCCGGAATCCTCGGCCTTTCTGGGGTGGAAGTACAGCATCTTTGGGGATTAAAGTCTTTTTTTTTTTTAAGATTTTATTTCTTTATTTGACAGAAAGAGCACAAGCAGGGAGAAGTGGCAGGCAGAGGCAGAGAGAGAAGCAGGCTCCCCGCTGAGCAGGGAGCCCGATGAGGGGCCTGATCCCAGGACCCCGGGATCATGACCTGAGCCGAAGGCAGTGGCTTAACCAACTGAGCCACCCAGGCGCCCGGGGATTAAAGGCTTATATAAGAACTTGCTCCTAGGAGCCTTCTAGATTTGATGATTGAATATTAATTATGTGAAAAGAATGTGAGCTCTGCAATTAGAAAGCTAACATTTTTATTTCAATAGAAAATTAATCATCTTTCTGAAAATGCATGTGCTGGGTCTCTCCTCCAATTCTTCTCTTCACCTAATTATACAAACTGGGTTTGTAGATATAAATGTTATTCCATCTTTCTAATCCTAAAGGTCACCATGTGCTTGTACATATTAAATGCAAACAGACAGTAACTCCTCCCTCTTGGGAGGCAAGAAAATACTCGGCATGTAGCAAAGTCTTCCTATTTTTAACAGAACTATAGCATGACACATTGAGTCACCCACATAACAGGTTTCTTCTCTTTTCTCTTTTTCACCCCTTAGCTTATTCTCCACCAATGGAAAACCATCTACTGTCTGGCAACAATGGAACTTTAGAATATAAAACTTCCCTGCCGCCCATCTCTCCAGGAAGGTACTCACCGATTCCAAAGCACATGCTTGTTGAAGACGATTACACCAGGTCAGATGTGCTTATTGATTAATTGGATTTGTGATCATTCCTGGGAAGAAACGACATTTGCCTAACATGTCAGCCATTGCTTTGGGGGCTAACGAAAATTTCTGAGCACCACTGAAACTCACCATCGTCTTGTCTCCAGTGGAAATCTGCAAATTCTCATAAATGTGTATCATTAGGAATCAAAATCACTAATTCTTTCTGAGAAGTGGTACTGTATACGTACTCATCACTTTTCAATTTATTAAGACTTTCACACATGATGCCGTTTGAGCTCGACAGCCATTTTGTCAGATAGTTAACTTGAGAGGAGGTGGTGAGAGGTAACTACTAAGGAAGTAGCATACCAATATTACATCTCCGGTTAGTGCAGCAGTCAGGACTGAAACCTTTGTCTTTTGATGCTAAATTCCATGTTTTTGACACCAATGGCTACCCACAATTCAATGGAGTTGGGAAGTGAGTCAACCCTTCCTTGTAGCACAATAGCTACAAGTATAAAGAAAAGGGATGAAATTAACTGTAAATGGTTTGAATTTAATATATGCTATTAATTCCAAAGGGGAACAGGACAGGATTTTAGGATAGAGCACGGAACCACATTGCTAATGCCATGAAGTAAAACCAATTTTAAGCAGCACACCTATGAAAAAGTTAGGTGTGACAGTTCACAAAGCAGACTAGCTTCCTTGACTTAATTGTCACCATTAAGGATACGGGAATAAATAAGAATAAATGTACATTTCCTTATCTTTAAATATTTTTGTTCCAAAGTAATGTATGCTCATTGCATTTGGTGAAATAATGCGAAAATGTTCGAGAAACAAAACCCTCTCCCAAACTCCTGCCAGAGCAACTATCTTGAGGTTCCCAATGTAACATCCTGGCATGAACCTTTCATACTTTCTGCATGTTCATATAAACCCATACAAATTCACAGTCAGATATAGATGGGACTTGATACTGTTTTTACAAAGTAAGCTCATATTTTAGAAATTGCTCTGCAACTTGCTTTTCTCAGTGAACAATACTTTTACCTGAAATGAGATTACATAAAAATATATACACACTTTTTCTGGAAGTGTTTGTGTGTAAAAATGATAGAGATGGACCCTTTTCGGTTTAATATCTGCCTGTCTAATGGAGCCATTTGTCAGCCTTTAAAAAAAAAAATAGTGGAGCCTTCCTGCCACTTAACTTCCCTCACCGGTACACAGGCCTGCTTTGGTCTTTTCATTCCTTTGCTATTTCTTTTTAAATGATTAAGCATTTTCCATTTATTTTGCAATTTCAGGTTTGCTGAAGTAGCTTGTTACATCTTTAGCCAAGGAATGGAATGTTTAGATGCTGCAAATGTGCATCTGTGGTATAAATCAAATATAAACTTCTTCCTATGCTGAAACATCTAATCTCTATGCTCTTAATTAAAATGAGGGCTGCAGCAAAGATAATCCTTATGACTCTCTAAAGAATTGTATAAATATAGGCACCTTTATTCACCAGAGCAATGATCTATTTGCTTTCATTCTATCACTAATATTTGTATGATTTTAATTTGAAAATATCATTTTATCTTACTAGACTCCACATGGAATTAAAATTGATTAAATCCACTTCATAATCCAAGCCCTTTGCTAGCTGTTTTACATACACTATTCATTTACTTCTCCCCAAAACACAGAAAGAAGGGCTGTCACTCCTATTTTATAGATGTAGAAGTTGAAGTTCAAAGATGTTAAATAACTTGCTTATAGTCACACTGCTTTTAGGTAGAAAAACTGTGGGTGCCCTGCCAGCTACAAAATTCTGGCTAAGAAGAAACATTTTAAATTTCTCCTTATTTTTAAAATGAAAACCAAGTCCTATAAAACTGTTCATCACAGAAATAGGTAGCTCTAAAGGAACCCAAGCATTTCGGTAAGTTCTAAAGGCAGTTAGATCAGAGTTAAGACCTATTTCTACCATTGGTTAACTATATGACTACTGGAAAATTATTCAATCACTGCAAACTTGTTTCTTCATCTATATAATGGAAATAGTAATCAAAGTTTTCTTAACAGTTTGTTGTAATGACTGAATGACATAATACATGCAAAGAACTTATAGCAGAGCCTGACACATCATGAATATTAAATGAATGTTATCTATTTACAGCAACTATACTTGTTATAATTCTTACTCTACCTAAGATGTCACATGGAATGTTTTAACAGATGGTGTCCTAGGAATAGAGTCTGCCTCTTCCTACAGGGCTATGCCTTGGTATTATATATAGTTCTTGTCCCACTTCCTCCCTTGTTCTCTGGCAGGACAGTTTCATTAAGAACTAGAATCTTCTGAATGGCTGGTGCCTGGCAAACTCGTGAAGTAGATTACATCAGTTTAAACACGCACACACGCACACGCGCACACACGCACGCGCACGCACATGCACACGCGCACACATGCCTCTCTCACCTTTGCTTTGTCCTCTCACGGGGGGCTGTGCTGTAGGCACTGCCATGGATCTCAGGGTTACTTGCTCAAAGGCAAATTCATTGCCTTGTTCATCAATATTTATTGGATACTTCCTACTAGACAGCAGGCACTGCACTAGGAATGCAAAATTGAGTAAGAAACAACAGCTCTAAGAACTACCAAATTGGGACAAAAATATAAGTAAACCAGTGGATCCCTCAATGCCTATTCCCTGATTATGCAGACCCCCTTTGTGAAGTTTTCTATAAAGCCTAATAAATTTTTTTAATTCTGAGATTATATATCTTCATATCAAAATGTCATTTTTGTGTGTGTGGTAGTAAATGGCAGATATTTACTTTACCATATCCTTACTTAGAAAATGAAATGTGAGGGGCACCTGGGTGGCTCAGTTGGTTAAGCGACTGCCTTCGGCTCAGGTCATGATCCTGGAGTCCCGGGATCGAGTCCCACATTGGGCTCCCTGCTTGGCGGGGGGTTCTGCTTCTCCCTCTGACCCTCTTCCCTCTGGTGCTCTCTGTCTCTCATTCTCTTTCTCAAATAAATAAATAAATAAATAATCTTGAAAAAAAAAAGAAAATGAAATGTGGGCAACTTTATATTAGTTCTCATCCTTTAAAAGGTCTGTAAAATGTCAAAGTGTGGCAAATAGTAACAGCAACAAACCAAATTAGATCCGTTCTAGGAAGTGCTCTGGTGCCACCCAAGCAGAGTTCCCTAGCTCTGTGGGAGTTACTTAGTAAATATTGGTAAATGATTTTGAGTTTTATATGAATACCCAAGGAAAAGCCTGTGGAATCAAAGTTTTAAAGAGGAGATACCTCTTAAGTTTGAGTTTGAAAAAATGTGTAGGCAGTGATCAGAAAGTCAAGGGATCAGGAGGGTGTTCATGGTAGGGGATAGCACATGCAGATTCATAGAAGAATGTGAAATAGAATAAAATGAAGCAACTATTACAGCTTGAAAAATACAACTCGTAAAAGAGAGTGGTTCCTACCTTTAAGTTGTCTTTATATTCCTATCCTTTCTGTCATAGGCAACCTACTTGTAAAATTTAAAATACATACCGTATTTTAGTAAATAAATAGTAGTAAATAAATTTAGTAAATAAATAGTAAAAACAAAAAGATCACTACTATGCCCTGTTAACACAAAGTCCTTTAATATATATGATTTCCCTTATTTATATTATGTTATTATTCTTGGTTTTTATAAATAACAAAAGTGCTCAAAGAGTTTAAGTAATTGCCTCATATCATACAGCAAGCAAATAGCAGCATCAAAATTTGAATTCAGGTCTGTGTTCCCATGGTTCATCCTCACATCACACCCTGTGCCTCATTTTATGCATTCAGTTTCCACAGAGAAATGTTGGATAAACAGGATTGGGTTTATATCAGAAGATTGGTTTCTAGTCCTGCTTCTACCAACTTGCCATCTAGATGACTCTGAACAAGCCATTTAATCTCCATGAGTCTTGATTTTCTCATCTATAAATTTGGGACAAAGAGTCTTCTAATTTCCTCATGGAATTGTGAAATATCAATGTGATAATATGTGTTAAAGTTGCCATTTTTAAAGGGCTAGATAAATTTATTATTATCCTAAAGTGTTATAGTAGCTTATATTTGAGGCCTACTTTGAATTTTCCTAAAATAGTAAATCAAGGTAATTGATCTCTAATGATGGGACTTAGACTGAGCGGGAAACATTTCTGTGAAATAGCAACCTTTCAACAACCCAAAACTCAAATTGACAGCTTTTTATTCCATGTGTTCATGATCTCTTAGTCTATTGTAAGAAACATTTCTATCTTTTCCTAAAGCATATTCACTTTTTGGGGGGGAGATATAGTAAGAACTTTTTAAAGGAATTTTGATTAGAAAAATGCTACACTCAGTTGGAATTTTTTTTTTAACTCTTTCTCACTATTTAAGGAAATGTATACCTGAAAAAACTGGGAAATGTTTTTCTGTTGATTTAGAGAAAGCACAAAAAAAGACACCCTTTTTGGATGGATAAAATTTTCTTAGTAGAAAGTCTGTTGAGTGCCCTATAAAATCAGTGTTCATTGTGATCTAGATATCTGGTCCTAGATTGTTGGTAAACTATTTTGGAAAGCTATCACTGTGCTGCTGAGATGTGTTTTTGGCTCAAAGAATTATAGGCTCTCAGAATTGGAAGGACCAGCAATGAATCTGGAGTCTAATATTCCTCCTTCTGATGTGTAAGGAGCACAAACCCAGAATGATATGTTGGCTATCCTTAAGTCCCATAACTTGTATTAGAATCAGATATAGAACCTATGTCTTCAAATACCAAGTCTAGTGCTTGTTCTATTTCTCTGAGCTGGTGTTCACTTTTGTTGTTACTGTTGTTGTTCTTGGATGGAGTAAGAAGGTAAGAATTATGAAACCCATGAACAAGCAATGATCACCTGTGAACAGTACCCACTTTGTGTATTACCTGCAACTATGGATTCTACCTTTACTGGGCCAAGTGGTAACCTGATGACCCAGAAGACG